TCCAAACAAAGGGTTCTAATTAAGCCGTAATCTTTCCAGTCTTTGAAACCTTTGATAAAATACTCCTATTCAATAATCCTTGAAATTAGCTTTACATCTACTGATACCATTAGATTATGGCAATTTGCGCTTAAAAGTCACAAAATTGAAACATTTCAGTGTTAAATGTTTTACTGGTATCGGCTGTGTGAGGAAAAAATTCAGAAGATCGCAACAGCTCTGCCAAATAAAAGAGGCTTTCTGATCAAACACATGATCTCACACGTGGTTGTAACGGTTTTGCACACTGATACATTTCCCTTCCTGTCTTTTGCAAAACAAAACCTTTGTTCTTAGCTTCGCGACAGTTCAAAACATGAACAAAAAGAATAGAATTCAATCATATGTTTTTGAAATAAAAAGGTTTATCGCCATTTGTACATCTGGTGGCGGAAGAGAAAAGATCCGAGGAAACTGAGTAGCTAAGTTGATAAAATTGCCAGATGTAACTTGATGTGATTTATATCTTGATATAACCTAAAAAATAACTCCTTTTTTGTCGCAAGATTTAAATTGAATTCTTAAAGCTTTTTAAAATGCAACACGAATAACTGAATCAATTTTTATCTTGTGTGTGAGAATTTGTATGATGAGTTGGCTTCCTAGATTAACTACGATCGTTACAATTACAAATCTGAATGATATATTGCCACTCCTCCCTGTTCAAAAATTGGATACAAGACAAAAAGAAACCTGAGCTGAGCTCAAAAGAACATTTCTCAGTACTCACCACTTTGTGGAAAAGGTTCCCCGAATATCTTCTCCCTTTCGTCTGGTGTCAACAAAGTGTGCACATTCTCGATTCGAAACAAAGCAGTAACATATAAGCATTGAATCCGAGTGAAAATTAAATTAATTCATATTTGAAATTGTTTTGTTTCTCACATTTAACCTCTCCTACCTTGTAAGGATTTGCTGTAGCCCGCGGAATAAAAATTAAAACGAAAAACGGTGTAAGAGAATACAAGATCATCTTCCCATGAAAGCCACAAGTTACTTGCCAGCCGACAACCCTTGACTAAATGAAGTCGTATTGAGGTGCACCTCAGTGAGTATGTGTGTATTTCCTGAGATAATTATACTTTCAAATGAGCAAAAATTTCGCTGTTGTTTTGATGTTTTTATTCGATATTGATGGAATATTGCTGGCAGCTCCTCAATGATTTTGTCTCAGTCGGTTCCTCTCCAAACTTCTGCCCATTAAAGACCTAAATAAACAAAGAAACACAATTAGAAGGCACAACCTGCCTCCTTTTAAAGCTTCTGAGAGTGTCAGGGAGTTCTTTTCGATATGACACTTTCTAATGTTGATAACATCTTTTCCACCTCGCTTGCTTCAAAAAAATATTTAAAATTGTCTTATTTCCTGTAGTAAGAATACCCAACAGAACGTCCCTAATAGTTCAAATTATTATGCTCTCACATCTGTAGGACAGTAAATGGTATAATGGCTAAAAATAAAAGTTAAAAGAATTCCCGCTGTTTCTTCGAAAAATTCGGGTTAACCGCAGTACACCAAGCCATCTCAGCAATAATTTGACCTTAAAATGGCAAAATTGGCGTGTTGACTGTAGTAATTTTACTTCAACAGGTTGACTCACCAATTCTTAATTGCAACTTCCATGTTTTCGAAATGTTCCCAACGCTAGCAAGGGTTTCGCTTCACCGTATTTTACCGAGGAAGTCACAGATAAACTTACTCATTCCTTTCGCGATTAACGAAGATCAGATTTTGGTTATAAGTAACATAATTTCTGTGGAGGAAAAAAATGAAGTACGCTCGATTATGAAGGTAGCTAGGGCATAAGTTATGTGTTTTTTTTTTCACCGCAGAGGGAGAACGAATGCATGAAAGCTTCTGATTCTTGTTTACTCTATTTATATTTCTTGTCTGTTATTAATTATCGTTCTGATACAAGTCATGGCAAAAGGAATTGAAAGAGAGATATATATGAAAAAAAAGAGCTAATCAGATAAACATCTGTATGGAAAAGGAAGTTTTATTTCCAACAAAATTTGAATGGTACGGGATCTTTGGACCTGTAAGGGAAAAAAAAGAAAAACCGTTGTGAATTTATTGTAGTAATTGTTTTGGATTCACTTCATATTAAATTTAAAAGAAAAATTCTTTCTTTTCATGCAACATTTAAAACTTTCTCGCGGAAACTGCAGAATACAATTTTTCTTTAAAAAAATATACAGCCGCCATACACTCAGGATTTTTCTTTCCGGATTGCTGCAGGTTACGCCCACAAAAGTGAACGCCCTTCTTGGCCGAACTTGGCTTTTCATTTAAGTTTATGTTTTGAAAAGCATAGTCTGTTCTGCTAAAGGTCTGAATGAATCCTAGGCGGAATTTCTCAATGGCATTGAAAGTAATCAACTATTTAATTGTTATTTGCTGTGTGGTGTATTCCGATTAAAAAGGGACACAACACGACAATTTTCCATTATTTTCAATAAAGGCAGCAGTAAGTAAACATCTGAGGTCTCGTAACCACCGTTCCGTCGATTAATTACGTTTACGGTCTTTCCGGCGCCTGAGGCACTCAAAGTGGGCTGAACTTAATATCAGAAGATCTCTGGAAAAATCTCTAATTTTTCCGAATAAATCTCTTTATCGAGGACACATAATATCAGCTGATTTTAAGTGAAATTAACTCGAAAGTAAGCATGAAGGACAGTATTAGGAAATTCGGTAGGATTCGTTGAATTATAAATTCGGAATGACCAATTTATTGTGTGAAGTATAAATTGACTGAATTTGATAAAAACTATGACATTTATCAATGAAGGACACCAGAGGTAGCTTTCAGCATTCAGAGAATCCACCTTCTTCAATTTTTGCCGTTCTTCCGTGTGGTGTCAATCAAAATTTTGAGAATAACTTTGCCCCTGGATGAAGAAATGAAAAGAGAAGATTTTGAATTTGCTCATGATTTTCTTTCGCCTCTAACCTGGTTTTAAAGAAAATCAAGGTCCAGATATACGGGGGGAATCAGATCTTTTCTCTTCACCACGCCAGTGACAAACGAACAATATCATTCTTTCTTAATTTTATCGATAGTACATTCGCCGTTGAGGAAGTGATATGGCACTCTTTGAGTGAAGAGGCGAAAGTGAATTCAAATAACTAAATGTTTGTGTTTCTACTCCGGGAATTACCCACAAAATGCGGAATATATTAGGCCATAGATTCATATGCGGTGACGTATAAGTTACAATTTACAGCATATAAGTCAATTTCTACATAAAGTTCGATTATATGTAGCCTTTCCAAACTTATGCGATAAAAGTCGAATAGGCTATCATAATTCAATATATCCCTGATGTCGACCTTTGAATGCAAAGCTTTCTCAGTGACATATCATGTTCCGGCCTACACCTTTTGATTACAAGCTTATGAGAGTGCATGCTTAACTTGGCCGCACGTTTAAGCGTTTTAGTCACCCCACGATTGCATTTGGACTCTGAGACAAAAATAGTTCACAGTTTCTTTCGCGTGGGCGAAAATTCAAATAACAGCCAAAAATACATGTTAGAGTCTAAGAATAGAGTTTACCCACACCGGAGAGGTCTGCGAAGTCTTAAAATTTTGATTACGTTTTGAAATACAAGAGTGAATTCGATCACTCAGGAAATTATTCATGAAAGCAAAACCATGATTTTAACTTGACTTGGTTCCATGATGATTTATATATATTCGTGAGCGAAAGACCTTTGTTCACCTACAGTAAGATTGTCATTTAATTACTGTATGGGTTTTTTCTTTTCTTTCTTTTCCTCATTAATGTATTCTTTCCATTTGGAGCATTGTAGCTTGTGCATTGTTTCGTTTAATCCAAGCTGTCGAATTCAATTTGATTCCGAGTCCTGTAGAGTTTGGCTGCTTTCGATAAACGCTTACGATACGAAGACAACAAGAATCATGTCAAATGAGTCACATCCCCGATAACTTTACAGGATTTTTCAAAACACCAAAGTGTTTAAATACTGACATCAAGCTATGGCTACGATCAATGATGAAACTAGACCAAAGTATAGTTCATTCCGGATGATTATAAGCCACATTTGTTACGTTTCAATCGGCCTTAACACTTCCTCAAATGTTCTTAGTAAACTACTTTCAAGTTGCGCTTATCTCTACATGCCCGAAAGTTCCACACATTTCTCACCGACGCGATTTTCACGGGAGATTCTAGGGTGATACATCACGTTCAAATACATTGCCTGAAGCTAAGCGTCACCTACTGCGACGAAGGAAGTACAAAAGATACTTCCATTAACGAAAAATAAAACCCTAATCACTCTTTGTCACGGAATCACGAACATTTTTTAACATATTTAATTTAAAATATAAAATAAGGAGTATCTAGAGAAAAAAAACTCTTATAGCTGTTCTATTGTTGGAAATAAGTTGAAAGACTTATAAGGCATTTAACTTCAGGTTTCAATATTATTTATTTGTCTTAATTCGATGAATGAGACCCGATAATTTAGATATAATTTAACAGATCTAAAATTCTGACTGGCTTAATAGTAAAATCGATTCCCGTTACCCATATTAAAAGGTTATCTGTTCCGTGAAGAAACGTGGCTCGCTAATTTCCTTTACAATCGATACTTTCGGGTCGAGACGTACTAAAATATGACTCTGAAAACGGTTTCCCAGTCTCGTTTCTTGGTAAACAACGTCTTTTTATAAGGGGAGAACCCGATTGAAAGCAAAACTGCCTCAACAAGCAAGTCTAGAATGTAAACTCATAGACAATGTTGGAGTTCTCGCGGCTCTTTTTTCATTTTTAATAGTGAGAAGAAGATCATCTTGTGCTCCATTTGTTGTACTTTGCCGCATCAATCCTTTCCCCATTTCATAGGAATAATATTTAATCTCTTTAAATCACCATTGGGCTTAAGGATAGAACTGTTTTCGTTTCAAATGACAACGATAAACTCACACATTTAGCGACTGAAAAAGGCGGAAATTTTATTGAAAAGGTACTACTAAATACAGCAATCACCGAAGGAGTCACCTTTAAAGTTAGTCAATTTTGAGGGATAGCCTTCTACAAACTCTTTGCTATTTACATTGTACAAATGACTAAGTTGTTATTACTGGCATCAAAGAAAGTCAATAAATACTTCTAAAAGTTAAATTCTATTGAATTCAATCACTTGTCAGAGGATTTCTATCAACAAATTAAACTGTTTCCCAGGATAACCATCTATGAATTCATCAATCGATTAGCCTAGAATCTACCAGAAACTCTATACGGAAATACTCCAGATTCAATTATCAACATCTAAGATTTGCTTTTAATTGATAAAAATTTGTGGAACCTCATGTTCCTTCATTTTTTCCAATTTGCCACATTAGAAACACGAAATTTCCTTCAGACGTCAAGACCAATGGGCGACAGAATACAGATTATGTGAAGTTTACTAGACGCGACAAAAACTACTTGTTAACTTGATAGCCAATCACAATCCAAGTTGCAGAAGCCAGAGAAATCAAAAGAACCACGTGACAATAGGTGGCATTGCACATGCGTGAAAAAAAAAGAAAAAATCTTAAGCATCATGCAACAAAGCTTTAGAAGAATCAGCCGTACGAATGCTAACAATGATCATGATCATCCTTAGAGGTCCACCTCTGCTAACAATAAATGTTCCTTTCTCCTATACTTGTGTTGTTCTAATAAACTAATCCAATATTCTACGAAAATATCAAAACTTCGTTATGTAGTTCAATAAATCAGGGTAATTCTAGTACAGGAGGTTTCATTATTTACATTAATCTTCTTCGATCCATCATCCTATCGTCGTGTCTGCTTCTGAGAAGAAAAAGAAAATTCATACGTCACAAATATAAAATTAGTAATAGCATTGCATTTGTTTCGTATGCAATTTGCGTCATCCGCTGTAAATCAGCTCCAACGTAATAGCTCATGTTAATGATCTTGTAACAGTGACTTTTACGTTGAATATTACCTGATTTATTCCTCGTCATCCGACTGACCATCACAAGGATTCTCAACATTACACGCCACATGTGTAGGTGGTTTAATGTCAGTGCATTCCTTTGGATCCACAGAGTTTGTTTCACCTGAAGAGTTTATTTTCACACACTCCACCTCCAAGGGTTGGACACCAGGGCCACACGAGGTTGAACACTACAGGAACACCGTAAAAGCAACTAATAAACGGACTGATACAACTTACTTTTGAATGTGCTGCGAGAAAAGGGGGGAGGTTCTGCAGCTTTGAATTAGCGTTAGGGGGTGTTGTTCTGGTAAGAAGTACCAGAGACGAAATACGAAACGTTTCAGTAACATGCGGATACAACTATTTTCAAAAGTGCAAAGGAGAGCGGTTAGTGATGAATGCAGACAAGATATGGCTAATGTAAAGGGAATAGAAAAAATTGGCAAAATAAAAGCCCCAGAAAAAAAACATCACAAGTAAACATTAACGCGGAAAATAGGGCGGCTGGCGAGAAAGAGGTGGACAGCTGAGAAGGCATCCGTGCAGAGCTCAAGGGAATATGACCTGTCAGTGCGAGAATTTCAATGAAATTTGTTACGAGCGTGTGAAAATTAGTCAACGATGTCAGTTAAAAGAAACTGGGAAGCTAAAATTGGGATCAGGCTTCGTTTGTTTTGTATGCGAAGGAAAGACTGAAAGCCATCACTTTGATTGGTTCAGTAGGATGCTTTGAATAGCTCTCCTGAACAAACGAAACCTTTATAATAAAATCAAAATGAATCATGGTTTCTAACTACCGAGAAGATCAACTGACGGCGGTTTACCTGTCCAATATGCACTGTGTACCACTCTGCCGGGCACGGCTGATTTCCACAAGCTTCTTCGCTGGCTGGTTTAGTTTCATTACAATTGCTATCGTCAACTTCCAGCTCAACACCTTGTGAATCTATCACACAGAAAACTTCTCGTGTTCTCATTCCGTGCTCGCCGTCATTGCAGTTCTTTGTACAATCAGTCCATATTCCTATCTCCCACCTAGATGGAAAATGAAACCATTAGAAGGTTAAAATAATTAAAGTGGATTTGTTTCTTAATTGATCACCATTTTGAGGGTATCATAGTCTTAACTGCCACAAGCTCAGTGGTAGAACGTCCGGAGCATTAATCAGATTCAATAACTGATGTTTACTAAATTCCAGTTCAAAACAAGAAACTGTCACATGGATTTTCTTTTCAACCACCCAACGCTTCATTTGCCAAAAAAAATTTTCACCTCTATATATATATCACAGTGAATTTCGTCGAATAATTCTCGAGACGAAGTCTGAGAGATCATTGTACAACCTTTGCTGAAGAGATCTGAATTTAATCTCGTTTAGTATAATTAGTCAGGTAACCTACAAGAGCAACTGCATTTTTAGAACGATCGAAAACTCGCGCGGATGTCATGAATATTATAATTAGTGCTTCAGTATCATAATCGACTAGCTTGGGGTGATTCCAGGAAAATATTTAGTGATCATCGACTGCTTAGAATGCATATACCAGCGGAAAAATAATAAACTGAAAAACATTCACTTTGCCAAAGTTTTGGTACATCTTGTTTTCTCACAAGTTTATTGTAGAAAGCCGATGAATGCTAATCAGATGTTTAGCGAGGTTAAAAGCCATTTTCCAGACCAATACAAACCTGTCAGGGTACTTAAAATATGAAATGCAAATAGAACATCAACGCATGTGCATAAACACCTTCAGCCTCACCTCGCTTCACCTGAGTCCTCGTCGTCCTGCCCAAGCTCCTCATCTAACTCGTAAATCTCCCGGACGAGTTCAGGAAAATCTCTATCGAGGCCGAGACTCCTTGTGGACTGGGCATCAGGTTTAATGTATTCGTATTTCACCGTATATTTCGAATATTCGTCCACTTTCTCATACTGGAAAAATAAATCAAAGCTTAAATTAATGGAATAAAGCACAGGAACATTCACACAACCCTCAAATTTAACAAGAGTGTTTTCAGTCACCACAGTTTTAAAATTTAACGCCGAAAGTTCTTGTCCCAATTACTTTGCTAATTGCGTGTTCTTCTCTTTCAGGATTATAATGAGCAAAAAGTTATAAAATTATGATAAATCAATTACTTAACTATCAAATCAATAGATTGACGAAGTTTGTTTTGAATTGATCATTTACGTTATCAACATTATCAGTTCATAGCCCGTGATGATGACCTGTTCTCAGCTAATTTCAGTAAAGTCTATAAATCTCCTCCTTGCAAATCAATAACTTCCACTTGCTAATGGTCAAGAAAATTCGAAAGTACATTGAAATACCATTTCGTAAAAAAACTCTCAAAAGAAACAGCTGTTCCCGTTATGCCAGCAATACTGAATTACCTACTAACATTCAGCATATTTTTTTAAACAATTTTTACTTACCAGTAATGCAAAGCTCTTTGTCAGTGGGCCTTTAGCCTCGACGAGTTCTTTTTGATTTCTTTTCCGGAACTTAAACTTATTTCCATCCGCTGTGAATGTCTTTGGACCAAAATTAGCAAGATACGAGTCGTAATCAAGAACAGGGTTGTAGTCAGCGTCCTCTAAAACTGAAGCGGTGCAACGTTGTATGATTCAGCAACTAGTTTCCATTCATGTCTTTTAGAGATTATTTTGAGCCCGACACTTACATAATTTGTTTTACCATAATTTTCGACCTCTCCGATTTGCTTAAGACAAAGAAGTGGCAGGTAACTGATGCAGCTTTACTCGTGAATTGTGAAATACAAGGTGAAATCACTGAAAAATTGTTTTGGTAAGAATGTTCGATTCAAACTCTCGAAGACGTTCAGAGAAAAGTTTTGAGAGGTACATTCGAAACGCCTAACAAGAAGTAGTAGTGCATTAAGTTCGAGCCAAGTGAGTACGTCTGTATGTGACACGCTGGCAGATGGCACAATTGGATCCTTTAGAAATTACATGAAGTTATGAATGGAGAAATAGGCGTAAACCCATTGTCACGTGATTTTGCGATTACTCGACTATAAAAGAAATCGCAAGGAACCAATCAGAATTCAAAATTGTGTCACACACATCATGTCGTAACTTCAAAAGCCAAAATGCCAGATAAGTTTTGAGATTCGTTGAGGTCAAAAGCACGTAAGTGTTTTTTCTCATGTTCACTGTCACGCAAAGGAAGGTAAAATGAATAATATTCTGTTTAATTCTTTTGCCATACTTACCTAAGTTGTTTTCAGAAGCTGTCGCCTCTTCGATTTTGACATTCCTTGCTCCAGCTGGAATTGTTGCGATGGGGACATACCATTCATCTGAAACGCAAGAGCAATCAATAATTCTGAGAGATTTATGATATAGATGTTAAGGAAATCTTTTAGACGCAATTGCAAGTGCTTGGGCAGATTTGTTAAATGCCAAAAGATTACGCAGAAGAAAGGTGTGGCATTAGTGCAAGACTACCCCCTCCCTCCTCCCCTCTCACTTCTTCAGTGTTCAGTGTTTTATATCATTACTAAAAGTAATGAAACGCCTAAGTTTTTCGGTGGTTAGTGCTGATTTTCAACTACTCTTCTTTATGAATAGCGATAAGCCTTAGTATTTATCAACACAAAATGTCAATATTTCAATTAAGGAAAGCCCTGAAATGAAATTAAATAAAACACGGTTGCATGATACCAAACCCCCTCTTATCTCACAGTGATTTGTGAAAGATTGATCACTCAATTGTCAAGCGCTAAAGTAACTATATGCTCCGGTCTTTTACCACCCCCGACTCCCTTTCGCGCAGTGACTGGAACAAGGAACTCCAGTGTTCAAGTATGGAATAAGGACTTTTTATCTTTTTATTTTTAAGTATCCGAAATATGACATAATATGTTTAACTAGAGAGAGAATACATAGACCTTGGTCACCGTTTTCTATAGTTCTGTTTTCTACTGTTCAGAACTTACCTGCTGGTGGAACTTTGCTGTATGTAAAAGTTGTCTTCTTCGCAGCACCGCTGGGATTTGGCTTACTTTTGTTGGGCTTACTTTTGTTGGGCTTACTTTTGTTGGGCTTACTTTTGTTGGGCTTTGGTTTCTTGAGAGAAATTTTTCAAAGCGAGATACGCATTATAAATAGATCTTAAGCCCAGTTTTTTTAATAATCAGCATTCCAGCTTAGGCTACGGTTTGGAATAATCAATGGGCGGGAAGATTATTCATAATAAATTGACCTCTTGAAGTAAGATGATCGTTTTCTAATTTTTCATGGTAAGCGATAAGCCTTCTTCTCACGGGTAACAAACTTCAAGTTTAAAGTTTAATTATAAGTTAAAACGTTTCGTTGAATTGAAGGTGGTTTAGATGATGGTTTTTCTATAAAAAATGGCTAAAATATTTCATAGTTTCGTGTACCGGTGTATGCGCATATCTCTAGTGCATTCAATCTTACGAAAATTATGCAGACTCTTTTTCGATATAAAGATCGCAAGGTTTCCGTCAAATCTAATGCCCATTCTATATTAATTTCCGTTTATGCAGTATGAAGGGAGAGTATTGACAACAGTCTTTCAAAATGCACTCTCGCCGTGCTAATCACAGTATAACTTTACAGCCAAAGCGCACACATTTCATCTGTTCAGTGAACAGGTTAAAGGAAAGGCGCCTTCTTCTCCAATTCATTCCTTGAGTGTATGATCTTCTCAAGCCTCTTTCCTTACCTGGCATTTTCCATTGATACAGACACCACTGTTAGGCTGGTCAGTGCAAAGTGTTCCATCCTTGACGTTTCCAAAGGATGTGGTATCTCCGTTAGTTGTGGCGCAACTTAGAACGCACTTAGGACTTCCTGATTAAACAGAAAACGGAAAGCCATTCTAAATATACCTATTTTTTTTTAGGAAATTGATACTTCGTGAAAACCATCCCGCGCTGGTCCAAGAGGCGCTAATTTTTGTTAGCTTTAATCTACACTTCATTTAGCAAGTGGCAGGTTAAATTTCAATATTTCGCAAATTTAAAATCTCCATACAATTAGTCTAATTTTTTGACAACTTTGAAACAATAACAAGATAGTATTAATCTGTCAGGGTGGCTTGATTCCTTCCCTTGCAGTAAGGGTTAATTCCACGAACATTGTTTGGGTTGCACATTTTTATACTTAATGTTACATTTTGCTTTTCTGTTTCTTTTGTCTCAATAAATTATGTTTCTTTGTGTAATTCTTGTTTATTTCCCTCATTGTGAAACGGAAGCTCATCTTTCGCTGCAGATTCAGTAGAAATTGATTTCAAATGTCCTTAACCAAAATATGCAGAGGTGTACATCATCTGTGACTGGTATCAAAGTAAGAGTGAATCTGGTGACGACTCTGAATGACCAACCTTGTGCATAGTATGGATCGTAGATCCAGTTAAAAGGGCCTCCTTGAAACTGTACATGTCTGTGATCCTTACACTGTTTCATCCTTGGATTTTCGAAGCTTGATGGACATTTCTAAAAATGAAAAAAATCGTACCATCTACTAAATTACTTCCTCAATATAGCGTTGAGATATTGAGCAGGACAAAGACTCCAATTTTTTTTTCAGGAGGATTGTATGTACAGGCTTTTTGTCTGCCCAACAGTAATCTGTTGTTATCTGTTTTAGGACATTTAATATATACACCTTATTCCCTAGTTTAACATATAATACGCGCGAGCAACGTGCAAAATGTCTCCTCGAATTATTTGCTAAATCATCGAGTAGAGGATTTGTTATTTCACTATTATTTTACCTTTAGTATTTTTAATTTGCGATGGCAACCTTTGGCCTTACCTGTGCATCGTATACGAAAGGCGAAAACAATAGGAACGAAAGCATTAAAATGTTCTCGTAATCATCAATGAAAAAAATCAGCCTCAATCAAAGTTCGGATCGTTCAGTGCGGCCATTTTGTTGCTCCGTGTTTTTCCCCTGTTCTCCAGCGTAATATTGTGGTATATTATACGCGTTCTCATTCATCTTATTTGGTAAAACGACATATTAGTGGAATAATAATAAACCGCAGTCATGACTTCAAAAACTGCATATACAAGACAAAATACCTATGATGAAATGCACGCGAGTGAAAAAAGTTCAGACAAAAATGTTCAAAGGTAGTTACCGGGTTGTTACAAATCTTGTATTCCTTAGCTTTTCCTTGGCATAGTTTCCCTCCGCGCTTCGGCCTGAAAATAATTAATTTGTTATTTTTAATTTTACCTTATGAAGGCTGCCTTACCGTTCAGTGGTTATTTTTCTACGGTACTCATTTGATATGTTTCATAACCAGATGCTTCTTTCCAAAATAGAAATTAAGGTAATTTTATTACCCTTCTTGTTATTGATGAGGAAGTAACAGAGGACCGAGGAGATTTTCGCTCCATCAAGGTTAAAATTTATCCAGAAAGTTAGTGAAAATTCTCTCTCTTTAGCGGAAATCTGGGGCAGATTAGAAGGTTCATATTATCTGTGAAACCATCATATGATTATTTTGATCGCACAATTAAAGGAAATCACAGTTAAGCTGCCGAAGCTTCTTCTTCAACTCTGCACTGATCGAGAAGGGGTTGTTTACGATCACGAATAAACAGCTTAAACTAAATCAAGTTATAACAATCTTTGATGATAATAGCAATCTTTTCTCAAATGAGGCCAAGGTGACTTCATGTTACTCACGCTGGATTGTCGCAAGCACGCTCCCTCGTGCTAAGACCTTGGCCACATTGGGGATAGCAGTTACTCCATGGTTTCCAGGCTCCCCAATTGCCATCAACGTCTTGGTATCCCGGCTTGTTTTTTATAGATACACAGCGACCATGCATGCACCACTGAGGAATCAATCACAACAAAAAAGAAAACACGGGAGAGAGAAAGATAAAGAGACAGAAAAAGATCATCAGAATAAATCAAGATAAGCTTTTTATGATTCTTCTAATTCAGATTAATTCAAGATAAGCTTTTGTGTTTGTTATATGTAACCTTTTTATTTCCGCATTTGGTTCCATCAGCGGCTGGTTCATCGTTTGACGAGCAGTACCCATCAGGCTTTTCGCAGTGTAAATTGACACACATTTTCTATAGAAGGATACAAAGATTTAAGTTGTAAGTTACACAAAACTAGTGTTTATTAGCGGTATTTAGCGGTAATCCATCAATGTCATATCTAATAATTTCGGTTCTTGTAACATATACAAGTACTCTCTACCATTCCCAACCAATTCAATAATTACAACCAAGTATCAAAGAAAAGTTCAATTAGGCAAATCAAGAGCAGGTTTTCTCCTGGCCAAACTGAAAGTCGAATAAAAATACGAAAATTCATTGTTTGGCAGCGTTTCAAACGAAGGACTTAGCTTTATACTTCAGCTCAAAAACTGCACCTATCAATTCGAAGCTTCCATATCCCTCCTCCCCCACCCCCCAAACCCATGAATCTGCTTTCGTGAGCAAGTGGCTCGAAAGAAAATTTTGACATCGCAGAATGATACTCACAAGCGAAAAAAAACCAACAGCGACACCATGAACAGATACGTCACTTTACTAAGTTCTACAACATTCGCTTATGACCCAAAGAATTATTCCAACCTTCAAAAGTTTAAATGCCCGGGAGAGTTGCCTAGGAGATGCTGAAGCTTCGAAATGATTGACGTATAGGCAAATCTTACTCTAAACATTACAAAAATGTTTAGCATGACATATACAAATTTAGATGAGCCAGTTGCAGAAACAAATGCATCTTGAAGGAAAATCTTCACTGAATATTATTGAAGTAATTTAAGAAAATATTCTGTTTAAAACGAGAAAGAGATTGTTTAACGCAAACTTTATAGTTACCGCTTTTAAATCCGGAATATCGCAGACTTTGGCGCCTGCTCCGAACATGCGCACACACTGAGCATCTCCGTCGTAAATCTTTCCTGGTAAGCCTTGTGGCATTTTAAATTTGCTCTTGGGTTCGTCATCGTTCAAACATTTAGCTTGCTGCGTTCTTAAAAAAAAAAAACAAATTATTCGCCATTTGCAACATTTCAGTAAACAGGGACAGAAAGAGGATATAATTAAAGGAAATAGCCATAGATAATTAACCTGCCTATTACGGAGCCGTAAAACTCTGAATGATTTTATCACAGAGGAATTTACACAAATTCGTGCTTCGGAATACAATGGTTATCCTGTGGTTCACTCGTTCATAAGCTATCAAAACGATAGAGGCTTACGAACGAGGCTTTGTCTTAGTCAGCTTGAAAGCATTGCTAGCTTTCTTTTCCCATTTTCTTTTTTCACTGACGGTTATATGATGCTGGGGAAACCTCCGACATCGAGATTATGTCATGTCGCGCACACTTCAAGTAGAGAACAGCCATTGCAAACCGTAGACATGGTAGAGTTGAATATAAATTGAACCCCTCTTACTGTAAAAATTTTGTCACGTAATTCCTACTGCACGGCGACCAATCAAACGCTGTCACTTTTCCACTTGCCCTAGTCGCCATAATGTAGACGCCATCGTTGCATTTGTTCCCCTCTCCGTCGTGTTCAGAGCCGAGACTAACAAAGGAAAAAGAGGAACACACAACTGATTAGGGCTGCGCTCTTTGGTTATTTATTGCAATTGAATAAGCATTTTCATCGCGCATCGTTTTCTCTTGAGCGACTATGCTTTCGATTTTTTTTGTTTGTTGATGAATATGGACCAACTCTCAGCAAGAGAAGAGGAATGGTTAAGGTACATTTGAATTATCTGATTACCAGTGGATAAAATCGCTATGATAGGTCAATTAAGGTCAATGCAAGGTGCTGTTTTCCCTTATTGTGGGATTCCACGATTTTTTGAAAAGTCGACCTCTTATAAGATAAAAGGCGAATAAATAATGCTCAACAAAAGCAAAAATATTAAAGAATATTTGTTAATGTTCAGAGGAGTGACTTTTGAAGTGCGCATTCGTCAACAAGTAATCCATATCGCGGTTATCGCGTGCTTAAAGCAATAGAATATTAATTGACTTACTTGTGAGCTGTTTCATGAGCCAATGTAAACGCAGTTCCTAGCCCCGTGTCCTTGTTTAGAGTACAGCTGACGTCTGGTCTACACATTCCCTTCAATTGCGCCAAACCTTAAAGAGAATAACATATGTTAATGTTTCAAGATTCTTAGCCATTAAAAAAATTGAACAGAAAAGTCTGTTAACTCCTCTCTTTTGCACAGAATTTTGATTGAACCTTTCACTTCCAAGATCTGATTGCTAATTTTCCTCGCTTGCTGCGACACATTTCCATTTAAATTAGTTTTGAGAATTTGGTGTTAGATCAAGATAACAACTTCTACCTGATAAGTTTAAATATTCTTATTACCTGTTTGTTGGATAATGTGCGGATATTACTGAAAGAAGTTACATGTTTATCACTTCTGGGAGTTAAAGAGTTAAGATATGGATTGAGTTACCTAAAATCGTTCCGCAACCCTGGTCTTGTACATTTCCTTTGTTTCTGCAAAAATTGTACCTGCAAAATACTTTACATCATTACCAGTTTGTCGCACTTGGAGGGTGTAAGGTATTGTTAGTTTAAAGAAAAGGTTTTCTCTAGTGTTTGGTTTCATCTGCTCTTAAACTTGCTCAGTTTCAAGTTTTGAATCAAGGGTCAAGACTGACTTATAAATCTATGCCGGCAAACGCTGCAATAATGTAGTCAGTTTTCGTAGTTTACCGCCTTCAAAATAACGTAGCTTTATATGCAATTATCTTGAAATTTTTCCCATTTGAATTTATCAGAGTACACCTTGGACGATATTATTATTATTATAGTGGGAATTTTCTTACTTCGAAAACAGTGCTGCATGGTCAAAATGGTCCGGACTCTTGTCATCAGCATTATTTTGTCCTGTTGTCCATTTACAGAAACTATCCAGAGTGCTGGCGGCATGTGTGCTAATAACCAAACCTCTCTTGATAGCAGAAGCGAAGGAGGAAAGAACAAATATTAATTGAAAATTCACTGAAAACGGCACAAACCATAGTTGGTTCAATTTTCCCTCTGACTATCTTCTCTCGGGTAGCAGCTTACTCATGAGAGTAAAGGGTTTTTTTTCTTAGAAAATCAAGTTAACGTCTTGCGTCCCCGCACGGAACGGTTACACTAGTGAGGAAACATTTTTAAACGCTTATCTGTCATGAAAGTCGATGACACCAGGATAAGAAGAATCAGAGTAAAGTCACTCGTGAAGTCTTGCAGAAGTTAACCACAACGACTGTGAAGTCTAATACTTACCTCGTCATTTTGCAGAATCAACAGTTTGGTTACCACATATTTGACGTTAGCCCCAATGGAAGCGTCGTCTAAGAGACCGTGAGCCTAAAATATGAATGTTGTTAGTGTTTATTATTATTTTGTATTTAGTGGGAAGTTCTCTCTAACAGGTGAAAATGGAACTGAGGGTTCGTTTAAACGAAGGTTTGAGAGGTCTTTGTTCACTGGGTGCACCAGTTATGCGTGAAGGGCGCAAAGCTGGGAACGAACAGAAAAAAAGACTGGGTAGCCCATGGTGCTGTGATAAAAGAGAAGAGTGCGGAGTCAATAGAACCGAGTGATTCGCAATGTAGCGGAAACAAGTCTCTGTATTTGTACTTCAAACTTACCTCCGTAGAGGAAAAAGGTAATTTCCAGGGAACAATTCCTCACGACAATTGGACTTTCCACTAAAACAGGTATGATTAGAACAACTCGAATGGACTTTTTTATTTTTGCAACGTACCATATTTGCCATGGTGGGCACATATTTCTTTATTTGAGGAACACCGTAAAATCTTGTCATCTCTTTCTCTACCACTAGCATGGACTCGATGGTTCTTTTTACACTCGGTTGAAAAGAGCGTTCGGAGTTAGTATGGGTGTCATCATCTTCGTCAGACTGCTGAACAGCTGCTCCGCCTAGAAAATCAGGTTATCAACAAGTGTTTGCTAGTTTGATACCGAGGCGTTGCTGAGGGGTTGGGGGTTGGGTAACCGAGACGTTTCCTTTCTGAGATGATTTTTTTCTTGACTGTTCGACTCACCGTAATTCACTTATAACCCAGTTAGCGAAAAAGCATGAATCCGAAGAATTTGTCGGGCATATCTCACTTAGTGCTCATCTCACAAGATGTCACTTTTTAAATAGAACACAGCATGGATTTCGACACGACAGCCGCGTAGGTACCCTCCCATTATTTCATGATAATAAACGATAACCATACAACTGTTGTAAAAGATGGGAGGGAATACATAGCCTGTATTCCTCGAGGGAAATATTCTGCGCGGGAGGGAAGACGAGGGAAACGCGAAACTGGGAGAGCCCCCTTCAAGGGAAAGAAAAAGTACAGCCAATGCTGAGGGCGAAAAAAGAAAACCCATGGTCTCTATTAATACCTTCCACTCCACACCAGCTATCAGATCTTTTCTCATCCTCGAGAGCCTGTGCCAGTGACTGCGCATGCGCGGGTGATAAAGACCTCCTGTGGATTACGTGGGCTCGAGTGTTGTTCTTTCCCAGTTTAAGTCTATCGGGCAGAGGATGTACCATAAATACGTCTTGTGGCGTGCGAATCATACCATGCTGTACAAGGAATATAATTGAACAAATTAACTGACTGCGCGTTTAGAAGTTAGGTTGTAAACAATTTCATCCCTGGAATTTGAAAGGGTTTAGTCTCGTACCCAGTCCTTCCACAGTGGAGCAGTAACGTGGTTGGATCTGGGTACAAGATTAGGAGGGGTTATCACCAGTTTTCGAATTGAAAAGTGCCTTTTTCCTGTCGATATCTCTCCCAGGATTGTTGAAGCCGGGCAAACGCGACGGAATTTGCTCATCGAACCCCGATCTAACTTGTTCTTATACTTTGCATAACCGTGAATGAAAACGTTCTCGTGCAAAACTCGAATCGCATCAATGCAACGTATATTATCGTCAGTTGTGTTCTCCATGTCAACATAAATTTCTCCCATTTTGAAATTATTTTTGCGGCTTATACAGACTTTGTCAATTACTACACTTGTCTATTGAAAAGCGACCGCCTCTGGTGCCAAAAAATGTGTTTGAACGGCACTACGTACCAGTCCTTCGCAGTTGCTGATAGCCACTTTGTTCCCAGTTCTTCCTATGGGAACCACCTGTCCAGTGTAATGACAATGATCAATCTTGTAATGAAATTCCGACGTGCCGTTACTACGAATTTCGATCTCAAAATTGGGCGAAAAAAGCTCATCATTAATTGTGACGTTCAGGTGAAGATCTTGACCAAACGCTGAGATCTTAAAGAAGACGGGTTCTTTCGACTTGGTACCGTCAAGGTCTCTCTTTCGCCGAGCGTTCCCATTTGCCAAGTCACGTGATAAAAATCTACCTCGCTCATCAACTTGAACAGGATGAGAGACGTCGAACTCTGGAACTGTGGGTGAAATTAAAAATGCACGATGTTTAACTGCTTTTCTAAACAGTTTTCTGGTTTTTATCTTGCGTCGGCATTTTTGGAAAATAGTAAAAAACGTCACGCATGGGTTGACTAGCCTTCCTATCTTGATTCGCTACGTAACAAAAACATTAAATCGATAATAGCAAAGAGCTAGGAATGAAATTAAATTCTTGATTTTTCGAAAGTGTGTTAGTAAATAAATTGAATGATGCGTAAATTTATTAGAGTCTAGAACTAACGAATTACAGCCTGATTGGCTTTCGGTTAACTTTTTTTCCCAAGCAGAGCAATTAATAGCATCGTACTGTGCATTTTATAATTATGTTCCATTTTTGCCGCTTCTGAGCATAAATCGATCTATCATTAAAAATTAACAATCAATCACTTTTGTTTCAGCAACCATTAAGACACACGACCAGGAGCCCATTACTTAATGGGCTCCTGACACGACTCATTAGACCCCTGGATGAAGTTAATGCATGACTACCTAAATTTGAATTCATAGGCGGAACAATTGTCACGGAATGTCAAGAAGTTAACGGTTTTGGTGGACGACATGTGGCTTGGCGTTCGAAATTCCCTGCAGGGGAGGGGGTTGTTCATCGGAATTCTTGTGAAAATGTGTCGCCAACCGTTCCAAATCCTGACTCTGTTTCAAACCAAAAAATTCCATTTCTCGTTTTCATTTCTTTTACTTATAGTCATTCGCGGTTAAATTCAAAAACCCGTTTATATGTTTTCTTTGAAAATCGTAACTGATTGAAGACGTAAATGATCAAACAGTTTGCCTGTAGCTATACCAAAACGACTAAAAAAACTATTGGGAGTACCCACGGGCGAGTAACGTCTTCTGCCACCAGATGTAACGCGGAATGCTGAGGCTTTTTCAATTAAAGCTTACTAGAATTGAATCAAATTAAACTTGCAAAGTCCTCAGAAAAGAAAACAAACATTGGAAATGAACTTCATTGTTGATGAAGCGACTAAGTCGTTGTTAATATTGAATTAAACATGAATGCTAGTTCTGCTAGGGATCGATAGTGTTGGAGAGCACAATGAATGTGCATTTTTCTTCTTCAAGGTGTTATATTATACCATATTATACAAAAAAAATTCCCAACGGAAACTGGCTTTATGTTGGTGGGTTCCGGAAGTGGACTAGGATTCTGCCAAAAATAATTGAGACAGCATTCTACCTGACCTATCGTGAATTATGCATAAATATTTAGTCTACGGTTTATATATAAAGTATCAGTCACCTAGTAATTGAAACACTAGAAGGCAAAGAACATCATATTTTTTTCTCACTTTGAAAATTGCAATTTTAAACGGGCAGCCGGGATCAAATTTTGAATCACGGTTCTTTCAGTTGGTTCAACGGTCAATTGCAATAACTATATACATATATCACAAAATAAAAAGATATTACTTTAAAACTGCTTTCATGCAATGGTACCCACCATATTCTACAAATGGATGTCCAAAAATTATTTCCCTTTCGTCATCAGTTAGTAGATGGTGAATGTCCTTAAAATTTTGCGAAAAAAAATAGTATATTGCAAAGAATGACATCAAAATTGTAATCAGGGACTGCAACACAGATTACATTCAGAAAACTTTGTTTACCTTATAAGACCTTGCACACGAGAGCTCGATGTACATAGACAAGAAGCTAAAAATTACTATCAGCGTCAACGGTAACTTAGTACGTTTCATTTCAGATGTTTCGTTGTGCGAGTCAAACCTTCCCTTGTAAGAAGCAAGTCTCAAATGAGTTAGATTGCTCAGTTTAGTTGCTTTATTTATTTACAGACAGATTTGACCGTTAGATGTCCAGCCGGGAAAGGTATTTGCACGTAAGGACGCGGTGTTGTTTGAGTTCTCAGGGCAATCTTTCTCGCTTGATTGGATTTAAAATATATGATATTTCGTTTAAGGAACCACTACTGCTTTTGTTTAGATCATTTATTCATTTAGTCCTTTGTGTTTGACTAAGTGACATGCACCACTGAATAATAAAGGTTTGAGCGGGCCTTCAAAAATATGTTACATAACTTATATTAAGCGGTCGATACAAAGTGCCGCAGAGAATTATTATGAATCTATTTTGGTTGAAAACTGATCTGATGAGCCAGTTAGGATCAGTATTAAAAAAGCAAATTATTGAAGGCAATCTTTTCAACACTTATGTCAGCAGCGTTAATTTACTTAAGCACACGCAAGGACGAAAATCCATCTCAGGTGATGATGAGATGTCAATATTTGAGTATCAGGGTAGCAACTTGCTCGGATTTGATATTTTCTTCCTAAAATGTACTATCTGATCGATAAGTTCTATGGCTAAGGTTGCATGTCCCTAACAGAAGAAACGTTATTTTTGAAATACAGATTTAAAAAAAGGTATAAAAGACAATTGAAAGCATTTTGGCGGCGAGTTAAGCCTTAGGCATTGGACTGCAGGTTCGTTGAACACGATATTGATTAACAGCTCTTCACAGTTTTTTTTCTTTTTGTCGGAAATCAGTATAACCGAAATACTCATGACGGGTTGTTTGTTTGTTAAAATAAAAGCATGAACTTGAACCGTCACTGAATATAGATGTACCGCACCGTTGCTCAAAGGAACCACTTCCCGCCTTTTGCGCTCCCAGCCGCTCAGTAATTTTTTTAATTTGATCACATCGGTTTTTTTGTTTACCTAACATTCTTTTGTCGCCATAAATGGTAGCAATAGTTAATAGACGAAAAATAGTATACAAATTTGAAGTGTAGAATAATTCTCGGTGATTATGGACCCGTTTTGTATTTCTGATTGCGAAATTGTCTTCTTTAGGGCCCGGAATTTTAAGTAGACAAAACTAATGTTTGCGTGAGACTTGAAGACTTGAGACTTGTGCCATAAAAGGAATATTTTACCCTTAAGATTTTTCTTCTCAAAGACATTATGAGTCTCGTGGCCGAGACGAAACACCGCGTTATACCAGTCACGGAGTAATTTTTTCACTAGTGTTAAACAATTTTTTTCTTGCATAAAGTTTTGCTCTAGTTGCGTTATTCAAATTTGAAACGAACTTCAGTAAAGCCCCGAACTCGATCTGCGAACGAAAAGGAAAACCAGAACGAGGTGACGGATTCACAAAGGAGTTCTAATTCAAGAGAATATGAACTGTGAATAAATCCTTTTTCTCAGTTTTGTACTGTAGAGTCGATCAGTGTAGTTAACTCCTTTGCAATATTTCCTTCTTAGCCTCGATCAGTAGTTCAGGCTCTGATTGACAGCAATAACCTGGAGGTAAGGTCGTGCGCGAACCCTTTTCTCGAGTGGACGGTTCGGAGCGGTTGAGTCACGCGGGACCTCGCGCGGTGTTCGCGCTGTTGCTTTAACTTGGTAGCCTTTCCTTGATCAGTGGTGTATTTCATGACAGAAATTTATGTCATGTATTTGGCACCAAAAGTTTTAGCAACTTAATTCGTGAGGAAAGGAATTTCGATATGTCCTACAAATTAAGTAGTGTACTGCGAGGCCATGAACTGGATGTTAGAGCTGTTTGCCCCGCTGTTTTCCCTGAAGGAGGAATCGTTTCAGCGTCACGGGATAGAACAGCTCGATTGTGGATTCCCAGTGAAGGGAAAGTTGGTTTTGAAGAAGGTCACGTTCTTAGCGGACACTCCAACTTTATCTCTGCCGTTTGTACAATTCCTCCTACGGACAAATACCCTCACGGTATCTTCTCTTTTCTCATTTTTTTATATCACATAGATGGAGATCGGTTTCCCAACCTTCATAGATAGACACTGATTGATTGTTAGAATCGTTTAAGTTGATATAAAAACTGAAAAATGCTGACGTACATCAGCTGTTGATTCATTGTGAGTTACCATTTGTTTTCTTTCTAATGTCTCTTTTAAGTAAAGCAGAAGATCAAAATCTTTTGAATTAGGCCGACTTGACCTGTAGTTATAAGACCATACAAATAGCAACATCCATTTAACGGTGGTGTCAATTACTGTGGCAAACCTCTCCTTTACCTTAGCTTATCGCCATTCTAATGGTTACTGTGATAAAATTGAAATTGTGAGATTTCTTCACAACATAATCCTAAAGAATTATTTTGCGTGTTGTCTTTGAATTATAAATAATAAGAAAGTTGTGTGCCTGAATTGAATGGGAGCAGTATCTTCTTTGGTACAAGAAGTACTGAATATACAGTATGTAGCTTTAAAAATAAACAAAATAGTTGAAAGTGATAAGTTTGAATGAATTAAATTTTATGGTGTAAAAATCTTTTGTACAATGGAACTTCAATTTAACAAAATGCCAAGGGACAGAGGAAATTAGTTTGTAATATCGAGGGTTTGTTATGATATAGCAAACTCTCAATATAAAGAATTTGCTGAAAAACAACCAAATTGTTTGTCATATTGAGGGCTGGTTAATAACTATTTTTTTATTTTTATTGTCTTTTTTTTATGTGGTGTGATTTCATGCTGCCCAGCATTTTGAGATTGTGTTTGTTATATCAAGGTTCTTTCTCATACATTTGACTGTAATTTTGGCCAGGCTGAAGAGTATCTTTCATTATACCTAGGACGTCTTTACATACATGTAGAGATGTGTTAAATGGAGGTTCCACTTTACTTCGTTTGCTAGGTCTTGTTGTCACTGGTGGTCATGACAGTGTGATTCTTGTGTGGACTCTGGATTCTCTTGGTGGGTATATAACAGTCTTTTAGAATTACCACATCTTCTCTTTTAACCCTTTATACCCTAACATCAGTCTGTATATTCTCCATACTGTTCTCTATACATTCCCTTTGGTGCTGACAAAGAGAATTTGTTTGCCAATTAAGAGCTTCTTTATTTGGTGATCACTTCTTTTGTTCTTGTGGCCTTTATGTTTTCATTCAGGGATTATACCATCACAGTTATAACTGTAGATGCTACACACTCATAGGAGGTGAAGGGTTAACCCTTTTGCTCCTTTCAGATCTGAAAGTTGACTGTGACTGATTGTGACTGATGCTATATGTTTTGTTAATTTGGTTTTATCAACTGTGTTGATTAAGTCAATTAGCCACTGTAAGCTGACGTTTCAAGTGTTAACCCTTGGTCAACCTTATTGTTGACTACTGTAGCAGTGATAAGTTGTTCTTTAATCATTGCCACATCACCTAACCTATAATTTTTTCCTTTTCTTCTTTTGCTGGACTATATTTCACAGTTTACATCTAGATTTTTCAATCACATTGGAAGAAGTCTTGATATTGAAGTGCTGTATTGAAATGCAAAAGTCTGTCTACCTCTCCTCTTCAGTCTTAATTTATCACAACCTTTTTTAATTGTTGTTGTCATCTTGAATTTATTCCCTCCCTTCAGAGCCTCTCCACAAACTGGAGGGTCACAGTGGAGCAGTGTGTTCATTAATTGCTGGAAAGTTTGGGACACTTCTTTCTGGATCATGGGACAAGTGAGTACAATAAATCTAACTGGCATCCTTCACATGCTTTGTGTACAAGGTCAATTGCCCTCTGATTAAGGCACAGGAGCTTTTCCTAGTTTACACTGGAGAACCTGACAGTATGTAGTGTTGCTAGATGTACACTAACCATTCTTTCCAAATGTGGTAGGAGAGAGGGGATCCATCTCAATCTCAATAATTTTCTAAGGTTTCCCAGTCAGTTTTCAGGTACCCATTTATACTCATGGGATGAGAGATGCTCTGCTACAGTAAAGTTGATCTTTTTCATGGAAAAGCACCTCAAACTGATTCAGATTGTAGTAATGGTAACCTTTAGGCTTTCATGTCAGCCACTCTCAATATTTTTTTTGTCAGAAATGATTTTCTCCTTTATATCTAAAATGGTTTACAGCACAGCACGAGTGTGGATTGGAAGCAAGTGTATGATGAAACTACAAGGCCATGAAGCAGCAGTATGGGCAGTCCAACTAATGCCAGATCATGGGCTCATGCTAACAGGTACATCTACTAAATGTACTTTAACCTTTACACCTTAACATCAATATGCATATTCTCCGTACTGTTCTTTATACATTTTGTAAGGTGTGGACAAAGCACATGAAGAGCATCTTTAGTTGGTGATCATTTCCTTTATTCTTCTGACCTCAATGTTCAATTCAAGGGTGATGCTGCTGGAAGGAATTTGAAGCCATTCACTCTAAGGGGTTCAAAGGTTAAGATGAATTACAGGTCAAAATGATTTTACAGTTATTTGATGTGTTCTCTGTTTGTTCTTGGTAAAATGAAGTGTTTCCTTGCTTGAATTTGTCCAAATCAGAGTGATTTTTATTTTTCTCTAATTATGGCCAACTCTGAGATATTCCTGGGTATGTTGTAGGTATTGATTGAAGTTGCTGTTATTCAACTGAGAACTTTTTATTAGTTTTAGGGGAAGCCTCAATAGAGATTCCATCTCCACTTATCTGTACACTGTACAGTGGTTGACAAATTATTGTCTATAACTCTACAGGTTCGGCCGATAAGACCATCAAGATGTGGAAAGCAGGGACATGTCAATTGACATTTACTGGACATAGTGACTGTGTTAGAGGTCTGGCTGTTCTCTCAGCTCTGGAGTTTGTGTCCTGTTCAAATGACTGGTAAAAAAAAAAAAGAATTGGTTTTGAGTTACTTCATGATCTTAGTATTTATATCAATTTTTGTGGTTTGAGTGAAAAGGTTTGCTTCCCTTCACCAGCACCATTAGAAGATGGATGAGCACTGGTGAATGCCTTCAGGTTTA